AGCTGCTTGAAAGAAAAAATTTAAATAAAAAGAACAACAACAAGAGCGTCAGAGCGCTATAGCAAGATCACATCCATCCGTCCCCAGGAGAAGGGCTACTAGATGAAGTGAAAGTTCTACCTATTAAGCATAGTCTACCTAGATCATTTATCATGTATCTAGGTGGAATTAATATTTAAAAATCTATAACACGAGATGTAGTACGTCGAACGGAATAATCCAAATAAGAAAATCCTCATGTATATACCAGATGTCTCAAATTGTAGATAACTAAATATTAATACCGAACTGAGAATAAAACTTCTAAAGGAAATCAACAATTAGAAACCCACCACACGAGACTGGTACGTCGAGCGAAACAATCCAAATAAGAAGCCCTTATGTATATACCATGTCTCAAATTGTGAATCACTAAATATCAATTCTAACTCTATGAATGAAAACAACACTCAAAAGAAAATACTCCAAACCTCAACTATATAGAACTAATGTCACATCTCGAACTACACTCGAGTAGTTGACGCAATAATAAAAGAATATCTCCCAACTCAAAAAAATATCATAGGTCATATTATGTAAGCCACATATCAAAAAAAGTACCCTACTCTTAGGTAATCTAACATGGGAGTAAACTACAATTGTAAATATATATATTATATATATATATATATATATAATATATATATTATATATATATATATATATATAATATATATATTATATAATATATATATATATATACTATATAAACACACACACACACACACACACACACACACACACACACACACAGACACCACACACACACACCAACACACACACACACACCCATCATTAGGTGCATATACTATATATCGCTATATATAGTACTAATATATATACTATATCAAGTTAGTATTATATCTCATATATAATTAGGGGCTATATACGCTAGAAGCATATATATATATACTATATATATATATATACTGATATACCCGTCACCGATATATATATTATGTATTATATATACTGTCATGCTCCTTGTGCAATAACGATACTTTTGTAAGATCCTTACTCAATCGCTTTGTGGCATTAGGTTTTATCTCCCTAATTCGGCTACATGAAATAATGATACTTTTATAAGGTACTCACAATATCATGTGGATTCAACATTCTTACTCAATCGTTCTGCGGCAATAGGTTTTACCTCCCTATTTCTGGATATACTTCCAGATGATCGTACAATGGAGTATAGGCATATCAGCCCAATCCGAAAAAACCCCGATCATCTTCGAGTATTGGTACAGCCAAAGTCTTATTATGGGAAAAACAATCAAATACTCATAGTGTGGTACATCCGAGGTCTCATTACGGGATAAACAACCACACTGAGCATCCATAACTGATAACTAATACTTTATTATATGTTATTACACTTTCATCAACTCAACGTATGTTAAAAGTCTCAACCGTGTAAGTCAAAACAACATAAACTAAGTATACGTACACATATCTCGGTGTGCGTATCAAAATCTGGCATTCTTCAACATTCTAGGTATTAAACAACTCTTAAACATCAAAATGCAACAGTACAAGATCGAGAAACTCTCTCGAAATCAAAACAGTGTCGAACAAAACATGTACATGCCATCAAAGAGGTAGGCAATCAACCGCACCTTTGCATCGATTGATCGCGACAGGTTCGGTCGACTGCATGCCAGGCAGAAGCCTGGGCAACCCCTGAAACCTGTCACGATTGATCGATGCAAAGGTGCGGTCGATCGCCTACCTCTTTGATGGCCTGTACATGTTTTGTTCGACACTGTTTTGATTTCGAGAGAGTTTCTCGATCTTGTACTATTGCATTTTGATGTTTAAGAGTTGTTTAATACCTAGAATGTTGAAGAATGCCAGATTTTGATACGCACACCGAGATATATGTACGTATACTTAGTTTATGTTGTTTTGACTTACACGGTTGAGACTTTTAACATACGTTGAGTTGATGAAAGTATAATAACATATAATAAAGTATTGGTTATCAGTTATGGATGCTCAGTGTAGTTGTTTATCCCGTAATGAGACCTCGGATGTACCACACTATGAGTATTTGATTGTTTTTCCCATAATAAGACTTTGGCTGTACCAATACTCAAAGATGATCGGGGTTTTTTCGGATTGGGCTGATATGCCTATACTTCATTATACAATCATCTGGAAGTATATCCAGAAATAGAGAGATAAAACCTATTGCCGCAGAGCGATTGAGTAAGGACGTTGAATTCACATGATATTGTGAGTACTTTATAAAAGTATCATTATTTCATGTAGCCGGATTAGGGAGATAAAACCTAATGCCGCAAAGCGATTGAGTAAGGATCTTACAAAAGTATCGCTATTGCACACATGTGCAATAGCGATACTTTTGTAAGATCCTTACTCTATCACTTTGCGGCATTAGGTTTTATCTCCCTAATCCGGCTACATAAAATAATGATACTTTTATAAGGTACTCACAATATCATGTGGATTCAATGTCCTTACTCAATCATTCTGCGGCAATAGGTTCTATCTCCCTATTTCTGGATATACTTCCAGATGATCGTACAATGGACTATAGGCATATAAGACCAATCCGAAAAAACCTCGATCATCTTCGAGTATTGGTTCAGCCAAAGTGTTATTATGGGAAAAACAATCAAATATTCATAGTGTGGTACATCCGAGGTCTCATTACGGGATAAACAACCACACAGAGCATCCATAACTGATAACCAATACTATATTATATGTTATTACACTTTCATCAACTCAACGTATGTTAAAAGTCTTAACCGTGTAAGTCAAAACAACATAAACTAAGTATACGTACACATATCTCGGTGTGCGTATCAAAAACTGGCATTCTTCAACATTCTAGTTATTAAACAACTCTTAAACATCAAAATGCAATAGTACAAGATCGAGAAACTCTCTCGAAATCAAAATAGTGTCGAACAAAACATGTACAAGCCATCAAAGAGGTAGGCAATCGACCGCACCTTTGCATCGATCGATCGCGACAGGTTTCAGGGGTTGCCCAGGCTTCTGCCTGGCATGCAGTCGACCGAACCCGATAACTACAGAATGTGCAGGTTTCTGCGCTGTTGAGTTCGTGTCGTGTTTTTATGATTTAAACCTGTTTAAATCATACTAAAATATATATAAAATATTATAAATTTTAAATCATCATCTCTGGGAATTATCAAACACCAATAACATGTTTAATTACAAAAAGAAGCATGCTTAAACCCTTAAACATGCATGAAACATCACTATGGAGATTAAACTTATAAAATCTTAGTTAGACAACATAAAACATTAAAACATGATAAAATAAACATGAACAAAAGGAAAAAATTTGTTAAACGGGTTCATCTTACTTAGCTTTCACAAACCTAGGGTTTAAACATAGTTAACTTACATAAAAACTCAACTAGTTTGTAAATCTAGGGTTTAAACATGATTAGAGCATGATTAACAAGATAAAAACTAAAATAATTTCAACTCTAGTGATCATGATCATGTTACTAACATAAACAGCAAGAAAATAAAATAGATCTAACGTTGGTTTAAGATTTAACATAAAAAATCTCATCTTTTACACATCAGATTAAGCTTAAACATGTAAAATATTGATTTAAACATATTAAATCATTTATTAACTAAAGGTGCAGGTTAGGGTGAAGATGATCTTGCCTTAAACTCATGTGTAAGCCTTTGAAATAAATATCAAGCAATCCACAAGTGCAAACAACCCGTTCTCCCTTGCCACACATCGATAATCTCACCATTGTGTCAGTATTGTGCTTCACAAAGCTTAAAAAATTCATAAGAAAAAGATCTAGGTTTTTTGAGAGGAGGTGACGAATGCTAGGGTTCAGAGATATGATAAAAAAGAGGAATTTTTGTGAAAAACACAGGTATTTATAGAGGCAAACCCGAAACAAACCCGTTTGACCCGAACCAGGAAACCTAGTCTGACTTGAAAAACCACCTTTTGTGTTTTGGCTGTAACTTTCTTATCCAACTTTAGAATAAGGTGATTTAAGATTTGTTGAAAATATGTTGATGAGACCTACAATTTTGTTTTTTTTTTTGAGTTTTTCAAGATTCTAACTTAATCGTTGTGCAAAATACATATACTATTAACTGGTCGTTTTTGCATATTTCAGGCTCGTGTATATAGTGTAAGATTTCACACCTATATTCATATATATACATTGAATTGATCTCAAATCAATTTCTAGAATACACAAATATCAATAAATATTATTTATCACCATATAACACATTTATTATTATTTATCAACATATTTTCAAATTCACGAAGATTTACAAATTGACAACCAAGTCATAACCTTAACAACCAAGCCATAACCTTAACACTTGTAATGATATACTTGATAACAAATCCATAAACATGATAACCAAATAGTAACCTTATCAACCAGTCTATAACCCTAACAATAAAACACTAAACTATATAGGTTCATTACAAGTTTGACGATTGTGACCTCCATGTTGCATCGAGAGCACTTAACGGGACGGGTGTTCAGTGACCAGTTATTTATTCGTCTAGTACATGGTCTTCCCCATCTTTTTTTTGGAGAGAGGAGTCTTTAACAATCGATCTTCTGGTAGTACAAAGCATTTCTCGTAATCTGGGATAGGAAAGAGGATCGGTGTATAACTTGTTCTGAATGCGTCATCAGTCATAAACAAATCATAATATTAATAAATATCTGGTCTCATCCATGTAATTACAGTGCACGCATGTTTGCAAGGAATGCGGGTGGTGTCCTAAGCGCTTTATGAACATGCCCAATTCTTCAAATCCACACGGCAAGTTTTATTGGACTCGACCTCCATAATATCTTATGTTGAATGTTTAATGACCAAGCAGCTACCATGGTGAATATTTTCACTCAACACTATCTCCGCTTCTGGACATAAGTATCCAGACCAATTCGCTGCCATTATGCCATTAGCCTCCTTTCATGCATGCGCTCCATGATTTGCTTCCGTATCGTCTCATCCAAAGGTAAGATTCGCATCATTCGGGCCTTTCTTATCCAGCTGTTGAAGGACTCAGTAACGTTTGAAGTAACATGGCCATACCTACAAAGTTAGAAGTAAGATTAACATCCAAAAATAAACTTAACAATGAAAAGATTAACTTAACAATAAATCTCTAATCTTAACAATCAAAAGATAACCTTAACAACCAAAGACTAACCTTAACAATAAAACCCTAACCTTAACAACCAAATGCTAATCTTAATAATAAAACTCTAACCTTAATAATAAAACTCTAACGTTAACAACCAAAACTTAACCTTAACAACAAAACTGTAGGCTAACTCTAACCTTAACAACTAAAATGTAGCCTTAACAAGATAATGTTTAAACCAAGCTATCATACCTTATATCACGAAAATAAGCATTTGCCCATCTTTGTGGGGAGTATTCCATCGTAGTAACATAAGTCCTATGATCGATCGATGCTAATTTTTTCATGTAATCATCCCATTTAGAAATTGTGTACTTATAAGTCGCTGATTGTAACAAATCACCCAATATTTGGGCGACATTTACCTTGTATCCAAAATCCTTCATCTTCTTTTTGAAATTCTCGACTAGGTACAGAACACACCTTGAATGGAAAGCATCTGGAAAGAATTCCTTGACTGCTATCATAATACCCTTGTCAGCGTCGGAAATCATTACCAGTTGATGTGGAGGATTATAAGGTTTTTCCCTATAAAACAATAACATCCACAATCCTTATAAAAACCATTTCCAATTAGCCTCATTCTCCTGGTTGCATACACAATAAGCAAGAGGAAATATTCCCTGGTTGCCGTCATATCCAATGGCACTAAGTAGTATGCCTCTGTAGCAATCTTTAAAAAATGTTCCATCCAAAAACAAGAGAGGCCTACACCCATCAATGAACCGTTCAATACATGCATTATAACTTATGAGCAAATGCCTAAACCTTTCGTCATCAACATCAATAGCAACACGACTTTCTGGATTAGTTGCATGAACCATGGCTTCATACCTGCATAAATATGACAACAAATCAGTAACCTTAGCAACATATTCATAACCATAACAACTAATCTTCAACCTTAACAACCAACAAGTATGCTTAACAACCAACCAATAAACTTAACAACTAATACATATGGTTAACAACCAATACGTAACCTTAACAACTAAAACATAAGAACAAAAGAATGTACCATCTCAGTGAATCGTAAGCCTCATCATCGTCACCGAACATGTCCTGTTGAGCTGTCTCTTTACTTTTCCATGCTTTAGTATAGTTAATCTTGATGCCATAATTTGAGAGCATGTCGTTCTTGATATCAACTGCACGAAGATCTAGCTTAACCTTTAAAACATCTTGTATTTGGCCTGCAATGAACTTTCTTGATGCCCTTGAGTTGCCAGCACTAGCTCCATAATTGATTGCATGTGTGGGTAGAACAGAAATTCTTTATGGACATGATCGATGAATTACTGAGTGGGGAAGAAAACAAAATCCAAGGGAAACCCAGCATATGCCTGAATCAGCAATGAACTCTTATACGTCTTTGTTCATTATGATAAAAATCATACTCAAACCTTTTAACAATTGAATAGTATTGAAGTGCTAATCTAACTTTAGCAGTACTATCAAATTTCTGTCCAATATCACGTATGACTGTGTGCCACTCAGCTGGGATCTTTGTTTGGTTGTTAATCATGTCTACCAGTAGCATGATCGAGTCGCCAGTGGGATTGTTATTAGGAATATGCTCATTATTATATGTTTAGGTGAGCGTGGTAGCTGCGCATCGTAAATTTTCTATCAGGATAGTCCTGTAGAAGTAAAAAAATACATAACCTCAGCAACGAACTCCTAACCTTAACAACAAACTCATAAACTTAACAGTCAACACATAACCTTAACAATGAACTCTTATCCTTAATGAAAAACCGTAACCTTAACAACAAACGCGTATACTTAACAACAAATGCCTAACCATAGCAACCAACTAGTATACGTAACAGCGAACTCATAACCTTAGAAAAAAAATCTTAAAACTATTTCATAAAATCAACCAACTAGTATACGTAACAGCGAACTCATAACCTTAGAAAAAAAATCTTAAAACTATTTCATAAAATAAGCCAAACAACACATAAAAAAAATCTTAAAACTATTTCATAAAATAAGCCAAACAACACATAACCTTAACAACCAGTCCGTAACCTTAACAACCAACTCATAACCTCAGCAACCAATGCAAAAGATTAACAACCGACTCATAACCTATCAGTGATCTCATAAGGAAATCTAAAGTGTAATGCCTAATGCCTACACATTTTCTGGCATAGTTTGTGTGTTCTGAGAAGTTGAGGATTACCCAGTGGAGGTAGCATACAAATTTACATTTCAAAATCTATTACGATGACAATACTCAAACATCAAACTCAAGTCCTCCTCATTATCAATTGAAATACTAAATTTCTTTTCCCTTTCACATATGAACATTAGTGAAAGAGATTGCATTGGTATTTTAAGCCTTTGTGACACTTGATCTTTCAAGCTGATGATTTCTGTAGTCTCTTTGATAACGACGAATACATCGTTACCCTCTTCGTTGTTTTTTTGCCCTTGTCACCATGCAAAGAAGGGATCCACCCATCATTTTAAATAAGGGAGTAGTTAAAGAATCAAAGAGGATTTATTACGGAGAATTAAGTGGAAGGAGAAAGAGTAGTTGGGGTAAGCAAATGGGGAGGAGATGGTTTTAGCGGTAGGGGATTTAGATATGGTAATAATTTGAAGGGAAATGAGATTCCCCCCTCAAAACCATATTCTATTCACCATTTAATGCTATAATATCAATCCCAGATTTTCGACTTGAGAGGGTGATGGTTACAGACTGTTGAAGGGTATTTTGACAGTTCGTGTGAGTTTTAAATGGTGTTTCACATTAGGGCTTGTTTTGGGGGCTAGGGAAAAATCACGATGCTTTTTGGGGGCAAATCGCCAATTGAAAAAGTCTTGGGGGCACGTTCTGGCGCGTTTTGGGGGCTAGAGGCATTTTTCCCTTATAGAAATTACACTATCGACAAATGTCAGGCACCCCTCAGATGCAAGCACTTGGAAAGCAAGTGATATAATAAGAGGACAAAAAAAATCTTTTTGTGTAAGGGAGAAGCAAAACCTGATTTTCAAACATGCACGTCCGATAGTAGAAAGGAACTTATCTTTGGACTCACGTGAGATGAATAATTTTTTAAAATAAGATTTGAAGTGATTTCTAGTACATAGGTCAAAAGGCCGACACGTTCTTTGTACTGTAGTCCTAGAAGCCACGTGATATGTAGCTATCTCCTTGAGTGCAACCTAACTCGAGCATTTACAACAAATCACATGATAATTGCAGGGCAATAGTAATGACTAATATGGTCAAATTTAAAAGAAATGTTGGGGATTCTAGTCTCCCAGCCTACTGCGATCTACACAACTCGGAAGCCAAGAACAATCAACAAGTTATAAAACAATCGTAATCAAGAAGAAAGAATACTGAGATTTATGTGATTCGGTCGACCAACTTCGACCTACGTTCATGTGACAATAATACAAGAAATCCACTATGTATCAGGGACAACTACAAGAGGAACCACTCAACTCTCTTCTTTCTCTCTCACTCTCACATACATAATCTGAAGTTACCCTATGTAGGATGTCTAAAAATTACTGTAGATAGCTTATCCCCATCAAACACCGATGATAAAAGTTACAATCTGACAACATCCAGAAGACTATAATTTGAAGACTTTTATGTAGATTGATGAAGGTTACAATCTGACGACCTTCACAATAACTGATGAAAGCTCTAGTTCAACAGCCTTCACAATCAACATCAGGAGATAAATCTAATGATTCTCATAGTTTTAAGGAGCCAAGATAAAGATTACAAGATGACGATCTTTGCAAACGCTCAAAAGAGATTACAAATTGACGGCCTCCCCAAACTAAGACGAGAAGGTCCTCCTCGCGTATCAGCTAAAAACGCAGCATAAACACAACATTCATAACTGTTGATGCAGTTCAAACGTGGACGCAGAGCAAATGCAAATGCGGACGCAGATCCAACTCAACGCGGACGTAGTTCAAATTCAGCCGCAAATGCAACTCCCAGACGCTGCAAATGCAGCTCTTAAACGCTGCCAACGCAGCTTCTAACTGCTGCCAACACAGTTTCCATATGCTACCCAACGCAGCTTGCAAACACTACATTCAAATGTAGATTTCATTCTAGAACGCAAGACCTGCGTTTGACTCGTTCAAACACGAGTTAAACGGTTCTAGAAATCATTTCTCCCCACGATTTGAGGGATTTCCACCCCACTTAAGAACGGATTAAGGGGGCGGTTACACCCCATTTAGCCCCACTTAGGAGCAAATTTAGAGGGCAATTACACCCCTTAATCCCTATAAATAACTAAAAAATCAGTTTAGCTCGGATCGAGGGGGGGGGGATCTTTGAGTATTTTGGAGATCTAAAGATCGGCTCTTTCGGATCATCTTCTCGACAGCAGATTCTTGGAGCTTTCTTTGTCCTTTGTCTTTCTAACCAATTACGGTTAAGATCAATCAACTCTTTTACAAGAGTTTAAACTCGCTCTGAGTTCAAAAACTCATTAAGAGTTAATTTCAAACCTGCCACGCAAGTTCTCCTCTACGTCAAATCAAGAGGAATCAACCACGTTTCAACGAAGTGAGATGTTCGGATCGTCAACGGAAAGCAAACTCGACGCGAGCATTCAAGAGAGGCATTCCATCGCCACCGTGAAGAACCAAGACTTAAATAAAGGGGAGAATTTATATTAATTCTCTTCTCTTTTATAATCAGGAAGTTCAAATTGTAATTGAAGTTGAAAGAGTTGTAAACATTCTTTTTCTAAGCAGTTAGAAAGAATAAAACACTCAATTCTTTCATTTTTTTCTTATTGCAAATTTTCCACCGAACACCCTAGAGAGGGGTGAATATGGTATATGCTAATCTAATCCGATACTAATGCCCAAATTAAAACTTATTAATAATATCCTAGCAATTATGATATACAACAAGATATATGAGTAATGATATGCCATTAAACTAAGGGCGATATAAACATGTGACAATGGCGATATATAATATAATAAACAATGAGCACAAATAATACGCCAAGACAAACTCAAGCACACAATATGATCACGGAGTTTGGTCACCCTCGACCTACATCTTTGATCCTCACTCACGAGGAGAATCTCCAATATCACAACCGGTTTTCAACGTTCACCGAAAATGTTTACAACTCACACAATCTCGGTTTTCTAGCTCACCGAAAACTCTCACAATCACTCACAATGTAATTGCACACTACAACCTCAAGTGTTGGTCTCTCACATATCGTTTTCCTTAAGTGCTCGGATTTACAACCTCTCTAGGCTTTACTACCAATGCCACTCCTCTTGGTGTCGACCACGTCTCTCACCACACACTCCTCTCGGTGTACTTGTGCATTACAAAGTGATTCACAATTAAGCATAAATACAAAGTGTTTGTTCTCTAAACAAGATGAGAATACAATTAAGCTCACTCTCAATGTTATAACCTCACAACCCCTATATACTATGTATGAAAATACTTAAGCTCGGTGTGTGTAAACAATGAGTAAAAATAAAATACAAACTCAATTAAAGTCTAGCTTATAAAAATGATAATCAAACGTATAAATAGCTAGAGTTTGAGTTTAAAAAAACTTCTCCAACGAAAAACAAGAGTGAGAGAGATGAGATTAAAACCTAAACACAAAATGGATGATCTCTTCCTCTTGTGAAATCTTCTTCACATAAACTCTTGTAAAAACACACTTAAACAAACTAAAACCCTTGTAAAAATTTTAAAACTTTCTTAGATCTATCTTAATGTTGAGGGCTGAGGGATATTTATATGTTCTCAATACAACAACCCAAAGCCAAAGAACAGCACAAAAAATAAGGCAAAAACCCCAAAAAATAAGAATTGGAAAAAACTAGCCGTCGCTCTCTGGTCAGTTGACTGAATTTCAAGTGTCGGTCGACCGAATTTGGGTATCCGGTTGACTGGATGAGGTGTGTCGGTCGACCAAAATCATGTACACGCAGATTTGGCATATCTTGAAATTTTTGCGTAGCTTATTTTATAAAATCAATTAAAAATATCAAATCAACTCCAAAAATTATAAAACTTTGAGAAAGGTTTCTAAACATGTAGATACACATGTTAGAGAAAATATTTCTGAAATAACAATTCCCATTTGTGAGAAATTTTTGTCTTAAAATAGATATTATAGATTCTAAAAACTGCTAAAATACTTGAGTTTGTAAAATCAATTTAACATAGTAAATCAACTCCAAAAATAATAAAATTTTGGTAAATATTTATAAACATATAATAGATCATGTTAGAAAAATAATTTATTAATTTTCATTTTCTAGAATACCCAAACATCAATAAATGTTTTTATCACCATATAACACATTTATTATTATTTATCAACTATTTTCAAATTCACGGGGTTTTAGAAATTGACAACCAAGTCATAACCTTAACACTTGTAATGATATACTTGATAACAAATCCATAAACATGATAACCAAATAGTAACCTTGTCAACCAGTCCATAACCCTAACAATAAAACGCTAAACTATATAGGCTCGTT